TAGTGGAATTTATTTGGCAGCTTGGACTATAATTTGTAAGAAGTGAAAATAAATGTATTATGGAAAAATAAAATCTAGCCAGGCATGGTGGCAGGTGCCTGTAAACCCAGCTACTTGTGAGGCTGAGGCAGGAGAATTGCTTGAACCCGGGAGGCAGAGGTTGCAGTGAGCTGATATTGCGTCACTGCATTCCAGCCTGAATGACACAATGAGACTGTCTCAAAATAAATAAATAAATAAATAGACAAACCACTGATTAATGTTAAATAAGTTATGCTAACTATATTGTTTCCCAAGTGAATTCTGATGGTAAGGAATGCTATCGTATAACAATATAATACCCCAGCCACCCAGAGCCATCTTTTGTGGCTCTCAGCAGATACCAAGATGTACTACATAGGAAGCACAGTTATTGCCCTCTATGAAATCTACCTAAAATATAATAGAAGCATCTCAAATATATATACACTTATTATAGATTTAACACTTATGAATTGTTAACCTTTCTCTTAACCTGTACTTTCAACTGGGAGTTTCTCTTAGAATTCTGTTTCATGGCTGGGCGCGGTGGCTCATGCCTATAATCCCAGAACTTTGGGAGGCCAAGGTGGGTGGATCACCTGAGGTCGGGAGTTCGAGACCAGCCTGACCAACACGGAGAAACCCCATATCTACTAAAAATATAAAACTAGCCGGGCATGGTGGCGCATGCCTACTGTAATCCCAGCTACTCGGCAGGCTAAGGCAGGAGAATCACTTGAACCCAGGAGGCGGAGGTTACAGTGAGTCAAGATCACACCATTGCACTCCAGCCTGGGCAACAAAAGCGAAACTCCATCTCAAAAAAAAAAAAAAATTGTGTTTCATTTAATTACTACTACCTATGAATTTGTTTTGATTTGATCCATAATAGCTGCCTTTTAAGTGGTACTAGTGCTCTAGGACTCATCTACGTTAGCTCTCTTTTTTGTTTTTTTAAATTACAGAACTCTCTAGGCTTCTCATGCTTGTCAACTCTATAGATAGCATTTTACCAATCACATTATTTCTTTTAAAACGGAGAAATTAAAATACATGAAATATCTTAAGTGGAATCTAATAAAAGTTGAGCAGGATGGATTACTTTCTGACTGTCATACGTCACATTTCCCAAGATTACACTAAAAAACTAGCAACAGGCCAGGTGTGTGGCTAAAGCACTTTGGAAGGCCGAGGCTGTCAGATCACCTGAGGTCAGGAGTTCGAGACCAGCCTGGCCAACATGGTGAAACCCCACCTCTACTAATAATACAAAAATGAGCCAGGCATGGTGGCATGTGCCTGTAATCCCAGCTACTCAGGGGGCTGAGGCAGAAGAATCACTTGAACCCGGGAGGTGGAGGTTGCAGTGCCCACTGCACTGTAGCCTCGGCGACAGAGTGAAGCTGTGTCTCAAAAAAAACAAACCAGCAACAGTACTGACTTGCCCAGTTATATACCATAATCACTAAGTGATCACTTCAATTAAATTCTCAAGAATGAGGGCTGCTTTATTTATTTATCTTTTTAAGTCTGCTAAGATGAAAACAAATCCTTTCTACATCATGTGAAACAAAATTGGCTGGTTCCATATGGTTTAATAGTTCTAGAGTTCTGGAGAAATTATGCTTAACTGCAGAAAGGGAGAAATTATGCTCAACTGCAGGAAAAAAAAAAAAAAAAAACTTTCATGAATAGTTTTTCAAATCTCCCTATAGGTGAAGATAAGCAAGCCAAAAATGAACAAAACAACTATTTTTTAGTGAACTTTATAGTTTCCAGACCACCTTTTCCTATGCTTTGGGCACCCACTCCCCACTTTAAGCAGTTGATACTATGCAGTTTTTCTTTTTTTTTCGAGATAGAGTTTCGCTCTTGTTGCCCAGGCTGGAGTGCAATGGCGTGATCTCGGCTCACTGCAACCTCTGCCTCCCAGGTTCAAGCAATTCTCCTGCCTCACCCTCCCTACTAGCTGGGATTACAGGCATGTGCCACCACGCCTGGCTAACTTTGTATTTTTTTAGTAGAGACGGGGTTTCTCCATGTTGGTCAGGCTGGTCTCAAACTCCCGACCTCAGGTGATCTGCCCACCTCGGCCTCCCAAAGTGCTAGGATTACACGCGTGAGCCACCATGCCCGGCCGATACTACCCAGTTTTTCTTGCCAACCTCCCCACATTACAAGAGAAAGGGATCTAATCCCAATTATTTATATTATTAACATTTATATATATAATGTGATTTCTAATGCTGCATTTTAAAACTTTTATTGAAACATCTTGTCCTTGTTTAAAATTTTAAAAATATAACCAAATGAACAAAAAGTCTGAATTAAAACCACTGTTTCTTTCCCTATGCACCATGGTGTCCTGATGGCCAAGAACAATACATGAGAAGTCACTCTATAGTTGATAGAGACTATTCCTGGGAGCTGCTAAAGACATGGCCCATATCCCCTCTCACAGGCTTCCTGCAAAAGCACAGTACTATCCTGACACCAGGACACCTCTGTTCTTTTCTGCTCTTTTCATTTGCTCTCCATTTCTGAACACAGGTCCTTACTCTCCTGTCTAACATTGGTTAGACAATAATCTTGATTAAATTCCTGGGAAGAAAAGTGTATCTCCTCACCTGTCCCAAGACTCCTAGGGTTTGTATATGTGCATATTCATAATCAGGCATAATTTGTACTTTAATATCTTGGAGTATGATTCTATAACATGATTTAATCTCTACTAGTTTAACATATTAAATTTTCTTTATTAGAAGTATTTTTCTGTATCAAACTGACCATTCCTCATCTTCTATCTATTATGAGGTTTTCATCTTTAAGTCAGGGGTCCTTAATTTCTTGAGGTCATAAATAATTTTGAGAACAGAGTGAAAGCTATGAACTTTCTCTGTAGAAAGGTATAAACATTCTCAAAATTTCATTTATTCAGTTAAAAAATTCTCTGAGGTCTATCCATGAGCCCCAGCACTAAGAACCTCTGTTTCAAGTGAATGTAAGAGCCTGTTAAAGTAATCTTGCTAAAAGTAGGCCATTTCTTCCCTTTCTATGATCCTTTATGATTTGATTCATTTTTTTCCTGATTATAAACTAAAATTGCCTCTATTTATTGATTCAAAAAGAAAAGCAGGGTCACCTATACTAGAATGCCCATACCACACAATGTTTTCTTCCTCATCTCAGTTCTTTTTGGGGTATGATTTGCTAGGAAGATCTACATACATCCAATGCACATATATCGAATGCACATATAGTCATATATCCAACAGCCATGTATTCCTAGCTTGGGCATTAACATTGTCCTTCATTCATAGATTACAATGTAAAAACTTACTGAAGGTTTGCTATGCTTCACATATGTGGAAATAAAACTGTTCCTAGAGCAATTCTTCCAGGGCCTAGCACATTGCCTTATACAGAGTAAGTGCTCAATAACTTAAGTAAAAGGGAAACCTGTGGAAAGAGTCGACTGAGAAAAGAGACACAAAGAATTACACTCTTACCTTACTCAGTGTAAGCCACACACCAGAATCAACTGTAATTTTATAGTCATCCCTCACACATCAAAAAGCCCAACTATTAATTATGTAATTTTAAATTTCAGAATTTAATTTTCATTCAAATTCTTCCAACTCTGTACTTACATTTGTACTAATAAAACTCTGATGGTTTACACATATAAAAATATGCTACCTATGTACTATCAATGGTACGCAATTTGAGTTGTTTTCCTCTAGAATTGAGGGCTTTTGTGGCAACTGTGATGTTCCTTGGTACCAATTCCTCACCTTTGTAAGGTAGTTGCCAGGGGTTGAGGTCTTTCACATGGAAACACAGTAAGGCTAAAAGGCCTATAAAAGTGATCAAAACCCAACAGGCCTTATCAGCCTATGCTTCATACAAATACCTATCATATTTATATAAACTCCTTAAAAAAACTACATTAAAAAAACAAGAAGCTAGCATACATATTCAATAAATGTTTTTGCTATTGTTTATGCAAATGACATATTAAAATGTTAAAAACTTAAAAGTGTAAGTCATAGCTACATTACCAATTTAATCATTCAGAAAATCTTATGTGGATTAATGATTTAAAAAGAAATTCAATTTCCGTCACAGGTGTGTGAAGCAGAGAAATTCTATCTTGAATACAGGCTGGGTAAAATGAGGCTGAGACCTACTCGGCTGCATTCCCAGATAGTTAAGGCATTCTAAGTCACAGGAGGAGACACAAGGTCAGCACAAAATACAGGTCATAAAGACCTTGCTAATAAAACAGGTTGCAGTAAAGAAACCAGCTAAAAACCACCAAAAGCAAGATGGCCACGAGAGTGACCTTTGGTCATCCTCACTGCTATGCTCCCACCAGTGCCATCACAGTTTACAAATGCCATGGCAACATCAGGAAGTTACCCTATATAGTCTAAAAAGGAGAGGCATGAAGAATCCACCCCTTATTTAGCATATCATCAAGAAATAACCATAAAAATGGGCAATCAGCAGCCCCTGGGGCTGTTCGGTCTATGGAGTGGCCATTCTTTTATTCCTTTACTTTTGTAACATACTTGCTTTCACTTTACAGACTCGCCCTGAATTCTTTCTTGCTCAAGATCCAAGAACATTCTGGGGTTCTGGATGAGGACTCCTTTTCTGTAATATCTCTACTAATACATACCTTCTTAAGCCAAGTGAGTATATATTTATCCTTGATGTTTGCCCTTTAAGTTAACTATTACTCCAGTGTCAGGCAACCGAATAAACATAGTGCCTCTAGAATATCACTTTTAGAGATCTCTATAACTGAGTGAAATACCTACTTCAAATGATATTTTAATATTAAAAATGCAGCATAAGAATGAACTTGAGCCAACTATTTCTACTGTATGATTAAAAACTAAATATTAAGACATTCATACTGTCCTGAGGTAGTATTGTTGGATATATACTGAGTACTAATATAGAATTCTTACCTATAATGTACATGTGTGACTGTTGGTTTCCTGTATCCAAGGATCCAGGTTTGAATATCTATAGGTTCAGCTTTGGGATAAGCTATCGTCGTATCTATTATCCACTGGAGGCCTTTTGATTTGCTGTCTGAGAACAAAGAAAAAAAGACTTAAAATTAAATCAACTTTTATATTATCTATAGCAAATAACATAGATTACTTGACCAGTGTAAGGTATATCAATATACCTTCTGCTTTAAGAAAAATTCTAAGGATGAACTTTGGTGCTACTGTTCTATAATGTTCTTTAGAAGAAATTAAGCATTACTTATTGTGTTATAAAATGGATGAACCTCGAAACAAAGAACACTATTATCTACTGGACATGCACCATTCAAGTATCTGATACAATTATGCACTATGAAGATCTAATTTATAATTAACACTCCTATAAAAAACTGACCTATGAAAAGGTCAGAAGCTAAACTCACATCACAGAAAAAACAGACTTCAAAACAAAACAAAATCATTCACTAAATATAATATAATATAATATAAACACCAAGATTTGTGATACTGAGGATAGGCATTAATAAATATTGGAACATGGCAACAAAATTAAGCATTCTTTATGGACACACTTTGTTGCTGCTCTTGAGGCTGGGCGTAGTGGCTCATGCCTATAATCCCAGTACTTTGGAAGGCAGAGGTGGGCAGATCACCTGAGGCCATGGTGAAACCCTATCTCTACTAAAAATACAAAAAATTAGCTGGGTATGGTGGCGCGTGACTGTAATCCCAGCTGCTTGGGAGGCTGAGGCAGGGTAATCGCTTTGAACCCAGGAGGTGGAGGTTGCAGTGAGCCAAGATCACTGCCACTGCACTCTGGCCTGGGCAGAAGAGCAAAACTCCGTCTCAAAAAAAAAAAAAAAAAAGGCCGGGCGCAGTAGCTCATGCCTGTAATCCCAGCACTTCGGGAGGCCAAGACAGGCAGATCACCTAAGATAGGAAGTTCGAAACCCTGTCTCTACTAAAAATACAAAATTAGCCAGGTGTGGTGGTGCACCCCTGTAATCCCAGCTACTCGGGAGGCTGAGGCAGGAGAATCGCTTGAACCCAAGAGGTGGAGGTTGTAGTGAGCTGAGATTGCACCATTGCACTCCAGCCTGAGCAACAAGAGTGAAACTCCGTCTCAAAAAAATAAAATACATCAAAAATAAAAAAAATAAATAAATAAAAAGCAAAATATCTCCCTCAGTTTTAGCAAGAGTTATATGTACACATAAAGCAATAAAGCTTCCTGCCTTTTGGAAGGTACAACTGGTGACTACTGTTGTGGAGAGGGGATGGTAAGTTCTGCTAAATTTGATCCTTTGCACATTGTTTTTATTCCAGCATGGGGTACAAAGGTGAGCGAGAACTGAGAGCAGAATCATCACAGAGGATACTGATGGCCAGACTTTAAGAGTATAATGGTCCATTCTTTATTTGAGGTATGTAAGAAATTCCTAAAAAAAGAAAACTCATTTTCAAGCATAAGTCCAAATGTGCATTAGGAATCAATCATATATTACTTTCGTATGTCAAATAATTTAAAACTGGCCTTAAATTCTGTAAAGATTTTAGAACAACATTGTGAAGGAGAAAAATATACTTGTAAAACAAGTAAAAAAAATAATTTAAAAATAACATATTGCTAAATGAACTGAGTTTATGTAAAGAAACACACTTTAACAAGCTACCAATGATATGCATGCTGAAATGTTTAGGAGTAAAGCATACTAATGAAGCTTATTTTTAGACACATTAAAAAATGAAACAACCAAGATGGATTAATGGATGGACAGAATGATGAAGAGATAATCTAGTCAGCTCACAGATATCCACTGCAAAATTCTTTAAACTCTTATGTATGTTTGAAAATTTTTATAATTAAATGATGAGAAAAAACACCAAAATTCAGTTTAATATCTGTTAAATCACGTGGTAACAAAAATACTAATCTTTTTAAAGTTAATCAGACAGAACTTAATTTTGGTATATGTGTATGGATCACATATTAAACACAAAGGCATGGTTTGTGTATACATGGAATAAAATGCTAGTTAATATAAACACAAAAGAAAATAAAATGTAAAATACCAAAACATGGAAAATAATAATAAAATACAGGTAAAACTAGTTTTCAGGTATACTTACGGTTTTTCTTCTAAACAGGTAGAATGAAAAACTTTAAGGTAGGATTAAAAAATAAACTACTCTGCTTTAGTTACAAACGTAAACTAGTTCTCTCTAAAAGAAAACAACCATTTTTCTTCACTATTATGCAATCAGTATAACAGTTGCCCCTACATTTGAGATCTAGACCACCACAGGATATTGCCTGGGTGGAACTATTTTAAAACAGCAGTCTTTATTAGTGCAACTAATCCTGTTTGGAAGACATTTGCCTTCAAGCTTTGGCTTGGCTGCCATTGCCACAGTGTCTCTCCAGCAGTGAAACTATTCTGAACGTTCCTTTTCTATTAAAAGACTCTTCCAATTTGTCTTTTTAATAGATGATGAAAGATTAAGAGAGCTGACTGCCAAGCAGCTGCTTGGGAAAAACAAATAAAAGGAAAACTCAGTTAAATCTGAGTTAAATCACAGACATTATTTCTATGTCTGGTCCTAATTGCCATTTAAAAACATATTGTTTCTGAGGGCCAATCATTTCAATTATTATTTTATTTTATTTAAAGAATATGAAAAGAAATAGCAAAATACTGCAAAGGAAACAGGCCTAGTGAATGCCTTTCAGCTTTCTAACTTATAACCAGACTTTCACAGTAGTATCTTAGGTAACTTGTTCAAAACAGTCTCCATGCTATGGACACAAATATCTTCTGCAAAACTTTATAATTTATCAGGCTATCTGCAAGATAGTTGCATCTTTGAGTATGATTTGCTTTTTGATGGTGAGAAGGTAATACACACACATTATTTTTAAAAACGGAAAATTCAGAAAAGCATTAATAGAGAAAAATAATCCATAATGTTACAACTCAGAAAAGCAATCACTGCTAACATTTTGGTGTCTTTCCTTTCACGCATTTCCTACTGCCTTGTTGTTTACAGACTTGAACTCAAATTGTTTTCAGAAGAGTTGCAGGTTTGCCCACCCTATTAACAGAAGAGCATAAATATTTTTCCAAGCCAATACAAACACTCCATAAACATCATTTGTAACAGCTGTGTTGTATTTCGTTGTATGGATATTTGATAATTACTAATCCATTCTCACTTCTAGCTAATTCCAATGTTTTGGCTATTATAAATAATCTGTAATAAACTTCTTTGCCTGCATTTCAGATTATTTCCTTTTGATAAATATTTGCAGTGGAATAACTGAGTCACTTATTAACACTTAATGCTCTTAATACTATCAAATTGCATTAAATTAGTTCTCTGTATTAAAAACAAACAAGGCTGGATACAGTGGCTTACACCTATACTCCTATACTCCCAGCACTCTGGGAGGCCAAGGCAGGAGTATCACTTCAGGTTAGGGGTCTGACACTAGTCTGGTCAACATAGTGAGACCCCCATCTCTACAAAACAACTAAAGAATTAGCCAGGCATGGTGGCATGTGCCTACAACCCCAGCTACTCAGGAGGTTGAGGTGGGAAGATCGCTTGAGCCCAGGAATTCAAGACTATGGTGAGCTATGATCATACCACTGCACTCCAGCCTGGACAACAGAGCAAGACTGTCTCCCAAGAAAATCCAGGAAAAAACCAAAAACAAACAAACAAACAAACAAAAAGAAGACCAAAAAGCTTTCTCAATTTGATAAATGAAAATATTATTTGATAAATGAAAAGATTAGTTTTTCAAACATGTCATTTCTATAGTTATATCTTTTAGTCTAGCAATTCTACTTCTAGGAATCTGTACTACAGAAATAGTTCCACCAATATGTAAAGACATTTGTAAGAATGTTTACTGCAGCCGTGGGAATGGCTCCATATAAGTAAGATAGGAGAAAGACATCTTTGACTTTATGCATTTCTGTATTATTTGAGTAAATTAGTAAAAGCACAGACTATTTTTGTAAATGGAAACATTTTTTAAAAATTACAGTTTCATCTTCTCCCTAAGTATTATTTTTAACACAAATTATAAATACAAAAAAGAACAATGATCATCTTCTGTAACTCCAGAAAATCCTTTAACTCCAACAAGGTAAAAAATGCTAAAAACCATCATACCTAATTCTTTAGCATCTCCTCCTGCTGGACTTCCATTTTTCTGTTGTGCTACAAGTGCATTCAAAATAATTTTTGTTGCCCCAGACCTTGGCAGAGTAACATTTGTAAGAAATGGCAAGTTATTTTTCTTGGCAAATGCCTGACTTGTTTCTCGCCGCTTCCTGAGGAAGCCCCCTTCTGGAAACAAAACAATCCATTTTCGATCTCTGCTCCTGTAATTATTTTCTAAGTGCTTCTTGAGAAGCAGCAGCTGTTGGTCACGATAAGATCTTCCCTAGAAGGCACACACACATGTAATAAGTACAGGTACATCCAAAATTAAAATGCCATAAAATTAAATAGAAATTACAGCTTCTAAATTAAAATCCAGTCATAGAATAGAATAGTGATTTCCCTCCCCCGGCACCTTACTTCCCTTTTTGACCACAGTGGTAAAAAGAGAGGTTATTAGCACTTATATAAATAAATCTGTCTTTCTGAAGGAAAAGGAAATTGTTCTGATTGCCCTTGAAAGTTCAGCCATTCATCAATTCAGCGACTATTTACTGAGTGCCTGCTATGTGCCATGCACTGTCCTAGGCACTAGACATAGAGGAGGAAATAAGAGACTTTCATGGAGCTTACACTCTAGTTTGGGAAGATGGTATATGTGGAGTGGAAATTCAACTAGTAATATGTGTTAGGAAGAAAACAGCAAAAGGATAGAAAGGGTCAAGAGGGTCAGAGAAACCCGCTATGAGGAGGTAAAAATGTGAGGGAATAAGTCATGTGAAGATGCAAGGCAGAATATTCCAGGTGACAAGAACGAAAAGGACAAAGGTCATTTATTTGATGGGAATGAGTATGGCATGTTCAAAGAACAGCACCAAGGCCAGTGTGGCTGAAATGTGATAAACAAGAAAGTCAGTGGTAGGAAAAGAAGCTACAGAGGGAGGTGGAGACCAAATGAGAAGAGCCTTATGCATGGTAAGTAGTTTTGGAGGGGACATCTTTGGATAGTTTTGAACAAGGAAGTGTTATAATCTTATTTATGTTTAAAAGTCTGACCAGCTTGGGCAACATGGTGAAACCCCGTCTATACAAAAAATACAAAAATTAGCCGGGTGTGGTGGCACATTTAGTGGTCCCAGCTACTCAGGAGGCTGAGGCGGGAGGATCATTTGTGCCCACAAGTTCGAGGATGCAGTGAACCCCGATGGTACCACTGCACTCCAGCCTGAGGTGACAGAGTGAGATCCTGTTTCAAAAAATAAATAAATAAATAAATAAATAAAAATAAATAAAATCTGCTGGCTCCTGTGACCAAAAGACCACAGGAGATAGTAAGTTAGAAGACTTGCAGTATTGCACACAAGGGAATTTGACGAGATTCAATTATATTGCATTGATGATAAGTAGTTACATTCGGGAAAAAATGTGAAAGAAAAGCTAAAAAGACATTCTAATGGACTGTATCTTAGTTGAGAGGGAAAGAGAGAAAAGAAGATGACCTGAAGTCTAAAAAGAAGAATCTAGAAAAATTTGTAGGAAGGCCCAAAGCTTACAACAAAGGTTCTTTCTTTCAGTGTGATCAATTTGTCAATATTTTCCAGCCAACAAAATTACAGAAGCTCCTCAAAATAATTAGTATGCTTTCAGTCTTTAGATCAAATGTATCCCAAATGGAAAACATGTAAGACATTTTCTTAGTTTACTGAGGTGAACTGATTATGATTAAGATAGCTATTAAGTTCTCAAGATTATACACAAAATATTTTTACTATTCTTGGAAAAGCTTGTCAAAATGGTCTAGTAGTAAAGTCTCAAGAGAATTTTTCTTTTAAACATTAATGCTTTTTCCCTTCCTTCCCCTCATGTTATAGATTTTTATTACTAGTCTATCAGAGAAAAAAATGTTGCTCTTTAGAAATAAATTTGTAAACTTTCTAGATATTTCGAAATATAATCTTTATGTATGCAAAACTTCACATAGTAATCACAAGAAAATATTTTGGAGTACCTAATTTTCGACTTTTATCTAAAAGTACACTGATAATCTAGTATAATTTAGCCTCTTTTTTTTTTTTTTGAGATGGAATCTTGCTGTGTTGCCCAGGCTGGAGTGCAGTGACACAATCTCGGCCCACTGCAACCTCCACCTCCCAGGTTCAAGCGATTCTGCTGCCTCAGCCTCCAAAGTACCTGAGACTACAGGTGCGTGCCACCATCCCAGCTAATTTTTGTATTTTTAGTAGAGACAGGGCTTCGCCATGTTGGCCAGGCTGGTCTCAAACTCCTGGCCTCAAGCAATCTGCCCACCTCAGCCTCCCAAAGTGCTGGGATTACAGGCATGAGCCACAGAGCCCAGCCCCTCTTCTTGATGCCTGAGGATCATCATTAGGGTCAACTGTTACACTACACTATAAATTCAATTATTTCCTAAAGCTGGAAACGAGGTAAGGTGCTCAGCTAGCTTTTCAGATCCCTGAGACTGCTAAGATTTCTAATTGTTGGTTCTGCTGCCTTCTCTGAGCTATTACACTAGGATCGTTGTTAAGTTGTCCTGATCAGTTTATTTTGTCTTGACCTTGTGTCCACTCCCAATTGCCACTTCTTGTGATTCCAGGCTATGCTTATATTTGTTTCTCTGCTCAGAAGAACAAAGGGTGTTTCCAAAAAAAAAATGATATAATGTCCAGTACATAAAACTGTCTGGAGTAAAGTATAGGTGTCTTGTGACACCTATTTTCACAGAACTTAGAAGTTTTTCTACTCACTTCCAGCTTATTTCTGAATTTGCGGTTCTTGGAAAAGGCTTAATTAGATTCACCAGTTATTTATTAAGTAATTATTATGTGCGAAGCACGGCACAATCCAGGTTGTTAAATATGTAAACACCAAATAAGTGTGGTATTGTCATACATAAAAGCGTTTACATATCATATTTCAGTCATCCATTCTGGTGAAAATAAAGCATGTAATACTAGTAACAAGTCAAGAAAATAATGTAGTGCTGATAAGAGGCTATCATTCTTCTTCCTACCTAAACTATTCCTAATGCTTGGGACTTCCCAATACACCTTCCTCCATCAAATCCATACTTATTCTTTAAAACTTGTGCCAAGTATCATCTTCTCCTCTGAAGTTTTTCTGGATTCACATAAAACTGATAACTTATTTTTCCCACTATGAATTCCCAAAACATCTCCCATTATTATTATTACATTAACTTATTTATTATTTATTAATTTATTTAATAATCTGCCTACTCGTAATTTAGATATCTACTATATTATACAACAGTGCCTTATAAATAAAAATAATAGTGATACAATAGTAGTAATCAAGATAAAAATGATGATGAAGGTAGCAGGCATTGTTCCGAGTGCTTTATAGGTATTACTTCATTTAATCCCCACAACCACCATTGTGGGGAATATTACATATTATTCAAGTTTGGAAAACAAAGAAACTAGAGTGTTTAAATAATTTGCCCAATTCACATAGCTAAGAAACTGAATAGTGGGCAATGTTTACTAAACTAAATTGTACCCTCTAAATGGGAGAAGAGTAGAGGTTAGAATGTTTGCATTTTAAGTATTTTAGTACTTATCCATACTCAAATTGAGATTGAAATAAATGGTTAGGGAACAAAGATTCAGAGAAAGAGCTCCCTGAGCTGGGCACAGTGGCTCACACCTGTAATCCCAGCACTCTGGGATCCCAGGCGGGTGGATCACTTGTGGTCAGGAGTTCCAGACCAGTCTAACCAACACAGTGAAACCCCATCTCTACGAAAAATACAAAAATTAGCTGGGCGTAGTGGCATGCCTATAGTCCCAGCTACTCCAGAGGCTGAGGCGTGAGAATCACTTGAATCCAGGAAGTGGAGGGTTACAATGAGCCAAGATGGTGCCACTGCATTCTAGCCTGGGTGACAGAGCAAGACTGTCTCCAAAAAAAAAAAAAAAAACAGAGCTCCCTGAAACCGGTTAGCAGTAGCCCTACCTATTATAATTGGTTTTGTTATACCTCTTTTTATAATCAATAATCAATTTGACTGGCTATCACTGCGGGAAAAAAGTGCTTATTACTTACCTGTCTTATAAAGAAGTCTCCATGGACCAGAGAAACAATTCCAAAGTTTGTGTACTTAAAAATATGATCCATCAACCACATCATCTGAGCAACAACCTAAAATATTGAAAAGCAAGAAATAATATTGGATAGAAGAAACCTGACTATAGTCAAGCCGAGTCTCCAAGCTTTAAATATAATCATCCAAGCATACTTTTAATTAACCAAAATATTTTAAATCTACCTCTATTTCTACAAACAAAGCACAGTTACTAACACTGTCTACATGAAAAATTACATGTCTTGATTCCAAGTCTTTGAGTCCTAAGTCATAGGTACATATATCACTATATAAAAAATGAAATTCAATTAACTTCTTAAATTTGGACTTAATGATTTCAAATTTGTTCTACCCCAAACAAAGTCTCTGGTAATTCTTACATAACTTGCAAAATATTTTGAAACAATACAACAAAATGGTTAAGTTATCAAAGAAGACTATATATTTAATGAACATTCACTTATAGCTTTACAGAATCTGAGTGTAGCTTCATGGCAAAGTATAAAAAGTTAGTGTCCAAAATAAAAACATTTAAAAATTAATATAATAGAATGATTTACATATTCTATTATGAAGAATATTTATTAGTGTATGCAAAATCATGCTCTTTGCCAGGATAAAAATATTTGTAGTGCCTTAGTCCTTAAATAGAAAAATATTATCCACTGCTGATAAGGGTTAATACCTATATCGAGGACAGAAGACTTTCTTCCATGCAAATTTAAAAATTAAAAGTACAGGTCAGGCACAGTGGCTCACGCCTGTAATCCCAGCACTCTGGGAGGCAGAGGCAGGTGGATCACTTGAGGTCAGGAGTTTGAGACCAGCTTGGCCAATATGGTGAAACCCCAGCCAGGTGTGGTGGTACATGCCTGTAATCCCAGCTACTTGGGTGGTTGAGGCAGGAGAATTGCTTGAATCTGGGAGGCAGAGGTTGCAGTGAGCCAAGATTGAGCCACTGCACTCCAGTCTGGGTGACAGAGAGAGACTCCGTATCAAAAAAAAAAAAATTTTAAAGTACAAACAGGATCTAATTAATGAATCAGTTAATTGTTCTTTCCTGCTGAGGAAATAGCATTCCTTGTTATAAGCCTTAACTAAAGTGAAAGCTGCAACCTCAATCAAGAATGCAGTAAGCTCTACTTTGGTTTCCCATGGGAACAATAGATGCAAACATCATCTCTAAGAACCAATTTATGTGAACCTACACATATGGAAAAAACTAAAACACTGATATCCATGTGCTGCTTTTATAAAAGCATTATAAAAGCCCACAGATGATATATATTACAGCTTCTGCCTTAGTTTTCCAGCTACACAACTCCTACTCCATCACCTTTACAATATTAAATCATTTTTTTAAATGAAGATATATGCCTAATAAAGAAAGAACTGATACCTCAAGCAATTAATATAGAGTAAGATAATCACCAGCATCCCATCTTGTTTCGCTTTAAAATGATGATTACAGTACTTTGTTTAAATAGACTGAGATTTGGACTAAATGAAATTTGTTGAAAAGTGTCCCCAAAACAAACAAAAAGCAGTGGATTCAACCTATAAAGCATTTTAGCTTTAGACACATTATGAATTGTAGTTGTAATTTATTGACTTCTGGGTTTTAAATGCCAAATAACTAGCTTTTATATTTAACCTTTCATTCACGATGGGTTTATCTCTTCAGTTAGAAGGGTCACTTAAAACATAAATTCAGTAAAGATAGCCAAACTATTTTCTGAGATTTATAAGGATAGCTCTGTTCCAACTTATTTTAGGGGAAATGTTATAAGTCAATAAATGTTTATAAAACATTTAATAAAGTTCTTTTGACAGAAATAAAAATTCTTAGTTTTATCATAAATTGTCATAAAAGGCCAAGACAATTCACAGACACTTATTATAAAGGTGCCAGGCCAGGCATGATGGCTCACACCTGTAATCCCAGCACTTTGGGAGGCTGAGGCCGGTGGATCACTAGGTCAAGAGATTGAGACCACCCTGGTCAACATGGCGAAACCCTATCTCTACTAAAAAATACAAAAATTAGCCGGGCGTGGTGGTGGGCACCTGTAGTCCCAGCTACTTGGGAGACTGAGGCAGGAGAACCGCTTGAACCCGGGAGGCGGAGGTTGCGGTGAACTGAGATGGCACCACTGCACTCTAGCCTGGCAACACAGCAAGACTCCGTCTCAAAAAAAAAAAAAAAAAAAAAAAGGACCAACACTTTCAGAAAATACAATTAATCCTTTGTTTCATATTCTTCAAAAGAAGGATGAGTAAACATAAGCTGCCTAAATCAGCTCTGTCAATGTTTGGTAGGTCTGTCACTCAGAACTTTTTCATTATTTCTAAGAGACAAAATCAATCTATATCAATTATTCTTTATCTGAATGCACAGATTTTTTACATATCAGAACACCGTATAGAGACTTAAACAAATGACTGCACTCTTTTTTCCTTTTGAAATTATAATAAGGTCAATGGTTCTCCATTGGGTGAGTATGGAAACTGCAGGATAATTTTGGTCCTTGTGGACTAAGGAGTGCTACTAGCATTTACTGTGGACTAAGGAGTGCTACTAGCATTTACTGTGTGGCAGTTGGGTACACAAAATGTCTGGCAGTGCCCAGGACAGTTCTCAGCAACACTGTTGTCCTATTAAAATGCCAATAGTACTCCCACTGAGAAACTAATAGGGGCTTCAAGAAATCCCCTGAATTCAAAAAGCTATGCTATAATTACATTACCATCAAAGTAATATTTTTTAACTGGCCCACAATAGCCTTCCTTCTTCGAATGTATCCATAAAGTATAAAATAAATCAAGTAACCATTCCTACTAGTGAATACAAATTAATATTGCTCTGTAATTATTAGGCAGCAGGGAGAGATTATAATGCTTCTACCCTTATATTTCTCAGTTATTCCTTTATAAAAGAAAGTAAAATATTCTTCTAGATTTCAAATTATTCAATATTATCAGAGCATTATTTAGAATGCTCAGTATTAACTAATCTGAAATGAAAAAATTACTTGGGACTTAAACATTTTTATAAAGGCAAACAAGCCAACCAAACTTTCTTTTGTCCACATGAGTGGGGAATTTTAAATTACCTAATATTCTGGTTAATACAGTTATCATCTATGCCAAACTGGTGTTAGAATACAGTTAGACATATTTATCTTGACCATTTTAATCACCCTTTGAGATTCAAAAAAACACTTAAGGACACTGTAGGCCCTCAGGATAATCACTATAAATGTAATGATCCTATCTGTAAGAGTAACAATGTTAACTAATTGGAGAGTCTCTTTTATAGAAAGCCAAATCAACTAGTTTTGCTCTATTCTATTCTATTCTATTCTATTCTATTCTATTCTATTCTATTCTATTTTATTGTGAGATGGAGTCTCGCTCTGTCGCCCAGGCTGGAGTGCAGTGGC